CTTAGAGACAGGGTCTCACTGAGTTGCTTAGGATCTCACTAAATTGCTCAGACTTGCTTTGAACTCACTATCCTCCTGCCTCAGCCTCCCAAGCCCTGTGATTATAGGCCTGCACCACTGCGCCCAGCTCATTATAATTATATTTATATAACTTAGTCTACTGGTGTCAACATTTTACCAGAATGAGCAAAGAATAGAAATCTTACCTTTATAATTCTTACCCATTCTCGTTGATGTAATTGTCTTAAATATTTCTTTTACATACATTGCAAACTGCATAAGCCAATGTCACAATTGTTGTTTCACCTCCTGAACACAATTTAGAAACCACCAAGAAGAGAACAGAAGGCTATTGTGTTTGCCCATAGTTTTGCTCTGTCATTCATTATTCCTTCCTGATAGGTCAAGATGTCTTCTTTTATCATTTTCTTTTCACACGGAGAACTTCCTTTAGCCATTCATTAGGGTAGGTCTGCTGGCAACACATTCTCTTAGCCTTTTGTCATTAGAGAATATCTCAATTTCGCCTTTGTTCCAGAGATATTTTCGCTAGCTATACTATTCTGCATTGAAAGTTCTTTTTGGTACTCTTTTCCTGCAGCCTCTCCAGGGTTGGTTTCTTTCTTTCTTTCTTTCTGTACTGGGGACCTAACCCAGGGGAGCTTTTCACCCAGCTACATCCCCAGCCCTTTTGATTTTTTTTTTTTTTTAACTTTGTGACAGGGTCTCACTAAGTTGCTGAGGCTGGCCTCAAACTTGTGAGCCTCCTGTTTTGGATTGCTGGGTTGCAGCCTTCTTGTTTTTTAATGAGAAATCCCTTGTCATTTGAACCTCCCCCACCCCCCCCCCACACACAGGTGGCATGTTGCTTTTCTCTATCTACTTTCAAGATTTTTTCCTTTGAATTTTCAGAAGTGTGACCATGATGAATCTTCCTTCAGGTCTCTTTGGGTTTATCTGTTTGGGGTTTTCTCAGCTTCTTGAATCTAGGTTTATGTCTTTTGCTAAATTTTGGGAATGTTTAGCCATTATTTCTTTCTTTCTTTATTTCTTTTAAGTATTTTTAGTCGTAGATGGACACAATACTTTTATTTATTTTTATGTGGTGCTGAGGATCGAACCCAGTGCCTCACATGTGCTAGGTGAGCCCTCTACCAACTGAGCCATAATCCCAGCACTAGCCATCATTTCTTCAGATGCTATTTCAGTACCACCTTTTTCCTCCTCTCCTTCTGAAACTCCAGTGATCCCAATATTAGATTTTTTTTGTTATAGTCTCACTTGTCCCTGAATCTCTGTCCCCCCACTTCAGTCTATTTTCTCTCTATTGTTCAGTTTTGAGTAAATTCTATTTTATCCTCAAATTTGCAATCTTGCTTCAATCCTTTATATTTTGCTATTGAGTTCTGTTATTATCATTTTTAGTTTAAAAATTGCCATTTGAATCTTCTTTATATCTTCTATTTCTTTGCTGAAACTTTCTATTTTTTTAAATTTGTTGAAGGAAGCATGTTTGTCCACCATTTTTATGACAGCTGTTTAAAAATCCTTGTCAAATAATTCTAACAATTCTGTCGTCATGGCTAATTGTCACTTCTCATTCAAGTTGAGAGCTTCCTGTTCTTGGTATGAAGAGTGATTTTTTTTTTTTTTGTAAATGAGACCGGGGATTAAACCCAAGGGTGACTAACCACAGAGCTACATCCTCAGCCCTTTTTATTTTTTAATTAGAGATAGAGTCTCTATCTCTAATTAATTAGAGTCTCGCTAAGTTGCTGAGGCTGGCTTTGAACTTGCAATCCTCCTGCCTCAGCCTCCTGAGCCCCTGGGATCACAGTTGTGTGCCACTGCATCTGGCTGATTTTTTGTTGTTTTTGTTAAAACATGGATACTCTGATCATGATGACATAAGATCCCACATGTTACTTAAACTTTGTGTTTCAGCAGACCTCTCCCGAGGCTGCTCAGGCAGGGGAAGTGTGGACATTGCTTTGCTCACCAGATGAGGGTCAAAGTCCTTGCTCTCCTCCCAGCTGTCAGCTTTTGTTGGCATGTGGGGGCTGTGGGGGTGGGGTGGGGGGAGTTCTGGCTTCTCACTGAGCTTCCAGAGATTCCACCCAGTCTGGGAGTGTTGGTAGTGCTTTCCTGTTGCCTCCTGCTGACACTATGCTGCAGGGGTGACCACATTAACACTGAGGGGTGTTGAAAGTGCAGGCTCTCTGGGTCCCTGGCATCAGCCCTGGGTGGGGGGAAGGGCCCCTTGTTACTGCCTAGTGGAGGTGAAAGTCCAGACTCCCCACGTGGTTTCCACTGACAGTTAGGGGGCTCCTTACTACCCAGCAGGGACCTGAATCCTGCCCCCGCCCCAGCCTTCTCAGATACATCCTGGGGAGGCAGAAGGAGTGGTCTAGGACATCTCCTTATAGTCTGGCAAGGGTGGAAGTCTAGGCTCTGCACTTGGCCTTTCCTGGTAAGGTGGGGCCTTTTTTTTTTTTTCCCCTGTAGCATTTGGCTGGAGTACAGCAATTATTGTCTGAGAGTTTTCTATCTTGCTAGGCTATCCTTTCCTGGTCTTCTGCTAAAAAGATCAGATTTTTTTTTTTTCCCCTGTCTGTGCCTGTTGATGTTTCCAGGTTGCTGACTTTTCCAACATTCAGTCTGGAATTTAGGAGAAAGAAAAGCTCTGAGAATTCGCAGCCATGTTGCAGCTCAGGTCCTGTGGCCCTGAAAAACGCCTGCCTTTTTCTCTCCATCTTATTTTACATATAAAATTAAAGGTTCTAGCTTTAATTGGGAGGAGTTGGGGAAAGTGCATTTCCTCCATGCACAGGCTGCCTTTTGCCAGACAAGAAAGTGTTATTCTCTTGCTCTGTATTTGGGTTTGCGGGGCCTTTTTCCACTGTAAGGAATCCATGTTTGAATGAGGAGCAGTCTTTGCAAATGAATTATTGGGTTTTTAAAAAAATAAACTTGAAAAAATAAGCCTCTGCCAAAATTTTTCTCTCTCGGCTGTCAAGATTATGTAAGAGAGCAAAGCCACGGTTTTGGAGGAGGGGTGGGTAATGAACCCAAGTCTGGGGATTTTCTTTGCATGTTTTTATTGAGGTGTGATTGATACATAAAAAATTGCACATATTTAAATATATATATATAGCATGCTATCTATATATAATTTTAATTTGCATTTCCCTAATGATAGTAATGTCACTGAGCATCTTTCCAAGTGCTTTTCTGCTATCCATATATCTGCTTTGATGAAGTGTCTATTCACATCGTTTGTTCAAATTTTACTGGGTTGTTTTCTTATTATTAAGGTTTGGGTTTCTTTCTTCTTCTTTTTTTTTTTTTGGACCAGGGATTGAACCCAGCGGCTCTGAGCCACTGAGCCACATCCCCAGCCCTTTTTATATTTTATTTTGAGACAAGGTCTCACCCAGTTGTTTAGAGCCTCGCTAAGTTGCTGAGGCTGGTTTTGGACTCACTGTCCTCCTGCCTCAGCCTCCCAAGCTGCTGGGATTATAGCTGTGCGCCACTTCGCCTGCTGTTATTATTGGGTTTTGAAATTTAAAAACATATTTAGATATAAATCCCTTATTAAATTCATGCTTTGTAATTAAAAATAGAATTACCACATGATCCAGCAATTCTATTTCTTTGTGTACATCCAAAAGTTCTGAAAGCAGAGACTCAAGGAGATACTTGTGCACTTTTGGTTATAGCAGCCTTATTCACAATGGCCAAAAGGTAGAATCAACTCAAGCATGCATAGATGGAAGAATGTGTAATCAAAATGTGGTGTAGCTACACAATGGAATATTGTTTGCTTTAAATAGAAAGAAGTTCTAGAGCCAGATACATGGCACCCATCTGTAATCCCAGCTACAGGGGAGACTGAGGCAGGAGAATTACAAATTAAAGGCCAGTCTAGGCCACATACGAAGAACCTGTGTTAAGATAATAAATAACAGTGGCACACAACCTATAATCCCAGTGGCTTGGGAGGCTGAGGCAGGAGGATCCTGAGTTCAAAGCCAGTCTCAGCAACTTACAGAGGCCCTAAGCAACTCACGAGACAAAGGGCTGGAGATGTGGCTCAGTGGTAAAGCAACCCTGGGTTCAAGCTCCAGTACCAAAAAAAGAAAAGAAAAGAAAACCCTCATTCCTGAGCTGGGGTTGTGGCTCAGTGATAGAGCCCTTGCCTAGCACATGTGAGGAACTGGGTTTGATCCTCAGCACCACATAAAAAATAAATAAATGAAATAAAGGTATTGTATCCATCTACAACTAAAAAAAATTAAAAACAAACAAACAAACAAAAAACCCTCATTCCTTTCTTTCTTTAGTGGTGCTGGGGATTGAACCAAGGGCCTCACATATGCTAGGCAAGCTCTCTACCATTGAGCCACAACCTCATCCCTCATTCTTTTTTTTTTTAATATTTATTTTTTAGTCGTAGTTGGACACAATACCTTTATTTCACTTATTTATTTTTATGTGGTGCTGAGGATCAAACTCAGGGTTTCGCACGTGCGAAGCAAGTGTGCGAAGCAAGTGTCCTACCGCTGAGCCACAACCCCAGCCCTCATCCTTTTTTTATCACTGAGAAAACAACAACAACAAAAAGACTATGTGATTCCACTTATATGAGATGCCAGGGTTTAGAGGAACAGGAGCATGGGGATGTTGGTTTTTTTTTGAGTGGATATAATTTCTACTCTCCTCCCCCATCTCCAGAGGGGGGTAGGTGTATTGCTCAGTGATAAAGCACTTGTCTAGAATGAGAAAGGTCCCAATATTGAAAAGAAAAAATTATGCAACGAATGTTGCCATAATAATAGGATGCCATATGGAAAAATATGAATCTCAATCTCTACCTCACACCATATAAAAAATTCATCTGAAATGATACATACATATATATATATATATATATATATATATATATATATATTCCCCGCTCCCCCAGTATTAGGGATTGAACCTAGAGCCTCCCAAATGCTAGCCAAGCACTCCACCACTGAGTTGCACCCCCAGCCCTTTTTAATTTTTTTCATTTGAAGACAGAGTCTCTCTTAAACTGCTGAGGCCTTGAACTTGTGATCCTCCTGCCTCAACCTCCTGAGTAGCTGGGATTCTAGGTATGTGTCATTGTGTCCAACAAAACCATATAAGGTTTTGAAACCTTAAAACACTATCTTCATAATTTGAGCTAGGTAAATTTTGCTTAGCACATCACAGAAAGCAGTAACCATAAAACAAAAAACAAACAAACAAACAACAACAAAAAAAAAACATGAGAGTTCCTCAACCAAACCAAACCAACCAACCAAACAAATAAACAAAAAAACAACTTAGCAAAAGTGAGGTGCCAAGCAATTCAGTGAGATCCTGTCTCTAAATAAAATACAAAATTGGGCTGGGGATGTGACTCAGTGGTGAGTGCCCCTGAGTTCAATCCGTGGTACCCACCATCCCAAAATTAACAACTGAAATGATTAAAGGCTTAGATGGTCCATCTTGTATCTGCTAAAGTTTTTTCAGTGCTTTTAGCCCCAAATAGTCAATATACCACAGTGGCATATTAGAGTGACGCATTCTTAACTCCTTCGATCCAATGCAATGCTGCTCAGAGGGAATGAACTGCTGGTATATGCAACAATATGAAGAATCTCAATGCTGGATGGAAGAAGCCTCACACAAGTAAGTACTTGCTGTATGATTGCCTTTACATGAAATTCTAGAATAAGCAAAACTAATGTATAGTGTTGAGAGCCACAGCCGAGTTGGGATGGCGCCTGGCATTTTGCCAGAAGGAGTGGTTGAGAGGTGATGCCAGCTTAGCCATTAAGATGATGATAATTAAGTTAAGCTGTGTATAATTGCTGTGACTGGGTGATGCTGGATTGAAACAGGCTGTGTATTCAGTTGTATATAGACCCCTGCTGTCCGACAATAGGGCGGCTCCTGCTTCCTCAGGTGCCCGCTACTTTTGAGTTCTTGCGGAGCCCCGTTGAGGGCTGGGAGAGTTCCCAGGGAGTGCGTGTGGAGTGCGGTGAGAGTTCGGGCAATAAAGTAGTTCCTGTTTGAACCTACAAGTGCCTCGTGGCGGCTGGGTTATTTTGTGCCCAGCCAGACTGCGGCAGTATAGAGCCAGGTGTAGTATGTAATGTACAATTATTAGCTATCAATTTATTTATTTATTTATTTATTTTTTTTTTTTAAATATTCATTTATTTAGTTAGTTATCGGCAGACACAACATCTTTGTTTGTATGTGGTGCTGAGGATCGAACCCGGGCTGCACGCATGACAGGCGAGCGCGCTACCACTTGAGCCACATCCCCAGCCCTAGCTATCAATTTAAAATTTAAATAAAAGGAACTGAGCCAGGCATGTTGGCACACACCTGTAATCCTAGTAACTCAGGAGGCTGAAGCAGAAGGATTGAAAATTCAAGGCCAGCCTAAGCAATTTAGGGAGGCCATAAGCAATTTAAGGAGATCCTGTCACAATTTAAAAAATAAAAAGGGCTGGGGATGTGGCTCAGTGGTTAAGCCCCTCTGGGTTCAATCCCTGGTACCAAAATGAACAACCAAAAACTAATATATAGAGGAAAAAATCAGGACATTGGTTGTGATAGATGGGATTCAGTAATGAGTGGGAAAGAACAAGAGGAAACATGGGTCATGCAAGTGCTTTGTACCTTTATAAAAGTTTGAATCAAAGGTCATTTGTCAAAACCAGTGAATGTGCTCTTAAAATTTCTGTCTTTCTCTGGGTGTGGTGGTACATACCTGTAATACTAGCAAGAAGAGCACACATTCAAGGTCAGCCTCAGCAACTCAGTGAGGCCCTTTCTCAAAATAAAAAGGGCTGGGGATGGGGCTCAGTGGTAGGGCACCCTGGGTTCAATCCCCAGTGACCACACACACACACACACACACACACACAGTTTTATTTTTTTTTTAAATCGGTGAATTTTATAGCAAAAAAACAAAACAAAAAAACAACCTCAAATATTTACATCTACTTTAATGCATTAAAAAAGATACATTAGGGCTGGGGTTGGGGTTGTGGCTCTGCGGTAGAACGCTCAACTAGCACATATGAGGCCCTGGGTTTGATCCTCCATATCACATATAAATAAACAAAATAAAAGTATCGTGTCCACCTACAATTTTTAAAAATGAAGAAAATAAATACATTAATGACTGGATCAAGGGATGGGTAAATAGATCTGTGATAAAACAGATGCAGTAAAATGTTAATGGCAAAATCCAGATGATTTGGGGAATGTTCACTGCAAAATTCAATTTTACAGTATATTTTAAATTAAATTAAAAATTTAATACTAAAATGTTGAAGAAAAATTAAAAGAACCCAGAGGGATATGTGGAAAAAATTAGCGGTCTTCACCCTCCCTACAAGTAATTGCTATTAACAGTTTGGTAGAGATTCTTCCAAATCCTTTTCCTCTTGAATTTGCATATGTGTATGGTGAAATATACATAATAGCAACTTATTTAATATGTGAATAGTTTCATCTCACTTGTGCTCTGGTGAACCCTCCCCCTCCCCCTCTGCAAGTATACATCTGGCAGCTGCTGCTGGTGTGTGTGTGTGTGTGTGTGTGTGTGTAAACTGCTGCATACTACATTTTGCTATTAAAAATGACTCTTTTTTTGGTTTTGAACCAGGGATTGAACCCAGGGGCACTTAACCCCTGAGTCACACCCCCAGCCCTTTTTATTTTTTATTTTGAGATAGGGCCATGCTAAATTGCTTAGGGCCTTGCTAAATTGATGAGGCTGGCTTCAAACCTGAGGTCCTCCTGCCTCAGCCTCCAGAGCCATTGGGATTTCAGGCCAGTACCACTGGGCATGGCTAAAAATTACCCTTCAAATAGTTTGGGTCGATTAACCTACAAAAAGACTGTTTTCTGGGCTGGGGATATGGCTCGGTTGTTAGAGTGCTTGCCTTGCATGCCCAAGGCTCTGGGTTTAATCCCCAGCACCACAAATAAAAGAGAGAAAGGCTTGTTTTCTAACATGCATCATGGCCTGATTCTCTAGGCTCTTGCCAGCACTGGCTTGGAACAATCTTTTTCATCTTTGTCCATGTGATGGGTGAAGAATGACATTTTCCTGAAAGTTGGTAACATTGAGAGTCTCTTAATATTTTATTAATGAGGTATAATTTTTCTTTTGTATGTTGCCTTTTCATAATCTTTGCCTCCTTCTCTACTGAATTTGACTTTTTCAGCTGGGGATGTGGCTCAAGCGGTAGCGCGCTCGCCTGGCATGCGTGCAGCCGGGGTTCGATCCTCAACACCACATACAAACAAAGATGTTGTGTCCGCCTAAAACTAAAAAATAAATATTAAAATTTCTCTCTCTCGTTAAAAAAAAAGAATTTGACTTTTTCAAATTAATTCTTTATATATATTTGGATGCAATTCTCTGTTGGTTGTGTTCAAAATATGAAAATATCTCTATTTTCTGGCTTATGGCTTCTCTTTATACTTTATAGTATTCTTTGATTAACACACACACACACACACACATTAAACCAGGGATTGAACCTAAAGGCTCTTAACAAGGCCACATCCCCAGCCCTTGTTATATTTTATTTAGAGACAGGGTCTCACTGAGTTGCTTAGGTCCTAGCTAAGTTGCAGAGGCTGGCTTTGAACTTGCAATCCTCCTGCCTCAGCCTCCTCAGCTGCTATGATTACAGGTGTGTGCTACCACGCCCAGATGTTTAACATATTCTTTAACTTAAACATATTTAAATGTATAAGCCTTTGCATATGATTTGTACTGTTTTTCAATTTTTTTTTAGTTGTAGATGGATACAATACTTTTATTTTATTTATTTTTATATGGTGCTGAGAATCGAACCCAGTGTCTCACACATTGCTAGGCAAGCGCTCTACCACTGAACCACATCCCCAGCCCCAGATTTGCACTTTTAATATTCTTTTTAAGGAAGTTATCTCCTATTACAAGATCATATTCTTTTATATTATCTCCTAAAAATTTTCCCAGATGTTTTTTCTATGCAGATACATAGTCTGTACAATAAAAGTAGGATGACATCATGCATACTTCTTTATAATCTGTTGTTGTGTCATGTAGCAATATATTTTGGACATCATTTCATTTGAATAAATGTTTCAGTAGTGTTGTGGATGGGGTTTCCCAGGAAACAGACTATGAGACAGAGATTTGTGCCCAGGAAGCTTATCAGGGAGTACATTCAGGATCAGCATGGGTGAGGGGAGGGAATGAAATAGGATTAGATAGAAGGGGAAGTAAGGCAACTTTGAGTAGCAACAAAAATAAGGACTTCAACTGGGTAATTTAGAGGGCCTGGCCACTTTGTCTTGACCTGAAGAAAGAAGGCTGGGCATTTATATTCCCGTGTTGTTAGATGTGTGCTGTCCCGGGATGAGGTGTGGGTGTCATTGGACGAGGCAGCTGACTTCAAGTGAGTACAATTCTCAGGGCTGGTGGGCGGTTGGAGGCTCCCTGGTAGTCCTCCTGCTACGTGGGAGTCCTAAAGGGGGGAGGTGTGTCTGAGCAGCCCATCACAGAATCCACCCCAATGAGGGGCACTGTTGGCCCCAAAGAGCATAAAACCGTGACTTGTCCTAGCTTAATAAATAGAGGTTAGTCTTACCAGGTCCAGGGGTGGGGCATTGACTGCTGGCATCAATGGTATCTTTTCCTTTTTGGAGGAAAAGAACTTTTTGAGCAGTCCCCAGTAGACTGAATTCATTTCATTGTCCATAACTAAAAGTCCACCCGTAGGTGTAAGGGTTGCTGGGAATGTGGGATAAGGGTTGTCCTGGTTTTTTTGGCTGGAATGTTGCTGCTCTGAACAAGATTCGTAGTATAGAAGAGATGACTAAGGGATTTTAGTCATGCAAACACTAACAGAGTCTGCCACAAAATAGATTTTGGAACATGGGGTGCCAGGGATTGAACTCAGGGGCACTTGACCACTGAGCCACATCCCCAGCCCTATTTAGAGACAGAGTCTCACTGAGTTGCTTAGCACCTTGCCATTGCTGAGGCTGAATTGAACTCATGATCCTCCTGCCTCAGCCTCCTGAGCTGCTGAGATTACAGGCATGTGCCATTGTGCCCAGCTCCAAAATAGATTTCTTCAAAATTATTTCTAATAATTGTGTATGGATTTTGCTAAAGCAGTCTCTATATTGCTAGACATTTCATGGTTTCCAATGTTTTTCTATTATCGTTTGTATTACAATAAATACCCTGATAATTTTTCTCTGCCCATATCCTCCTTTATTTCTTCAAGACAAAATGCTATATATATCATTGTTAGGTAGAGGGAATGCACCTTTTAAAGAATTAACTTATTTATTTATTGAGGATTAAAACCAGGGGCACGTTACCACTGAGCCACATCCCCAGCCCTTTAAATTTTATTTATTTATTTTATTTTGAGACAGGGTATCACAAAGTTATTTAGGGCCTCGCTAAATTGCTGAGACTGGCTTTGAACTTGCTGTCCTTCTGCCTCAACCTCCCTAGTCGCTGGGATTACAGGCATGAACCACTGCACCCAGCCCTTTTAAAGAAATTTGATGTAGATTACCAAAGTAATCTTTGATGTATCTTGAAAAGGCGCTACCAATTTTTGCTTTTCCTGAGCAGTAAACAAAGAGGCCTATCTTCCCTACATCCTTACCGACACTGGACTTTTATTTAACATTGTTAGTTTTCATCAGTTTTATATTCTTAAAAAGAGGAACTTATTTTCATTTTCATTTTTGTTTGTTTTTTATGGTATTGGGGATGGAATTCAGGAACTGGAGCATGCCAGGCGAGTGCTCTACCACTGAGTTACATCCCCAACCCTCAACTTTTGGAATTGATTTTATTGGCTTCATTTGTTTTTTTTTTTTTTTTTTCTTTCTCCCTCTTTTTCATTGTAGTCTAAAAAACATGCTTTGAGCTGTTTTATCTTTTAGAATACAGCTTTTGAGCTAGTCTGTATTTTGCTCTTGTGCTGTGAGGGTTAATTATAGCAGGCCTAAGTTATTTTGCCAATCAAAGCATGAAATGTACTATTTAACAATGTTTCCTTTTAACCAGGGCCCAAGGAATTTCAGGACATTTTTGTCTCAGTTTGTTACACTTGTTCATTGATAACAATGAGACTGATGATATGAAGGTGGTCTTGGTGTTACATCCCCCCAAACCCCCCTTCCCCCCAGAGGGCTATGCTATCGAGTCTTGCCATGTTTAAGGACATAGGTAGGTACCTAAATACAAATACTTAAATACATATTCACAATTGGTATTCACAGTGGCAGCTACAGATCTATGCAAAAATACTTTATTGCATGAATAATTATTTTATGGCCTATAAATTGTTCTCTGTATATCTAATAAGTGTCAGAAACATTTTTAAGATATCACTCTGGGGCTGGGGATGTGGCTCAAGCGGTAGCACGCTCGCCTGGCATGCGTGCGGCCCGGGTTCGATCCTCAGGACCACATACAAACAAAGATGTTGTGTCCGCCGAAAACTAAAAAATAAATATTTAAAAAAAAAAAAAAAAAAAAAAGATATCACTCTGGAAAGTAAAAGGAGAAAGAAATCATTTTGAGTATCCATTGAAATATGATCATTCATGAAATTGGAAATGTATTTCTTAGCTTTCTTAATGGTAAACATGTCAGTATTGTATGGCTTGGGAGGCTGAAGCAGGAGGACCTCCAGTTCAATGCCAGCCTCAGCAATTTAGCGAGGCCCTATGCAACTCAGCAAGACCCTGTCTCTAAATAAAAAATTAAAATGTAGGGCTGGGGATATAGCTCAGTTGGTAGATGCTTGCCTCACATGCACAGGGCCCTGAGTTCAATCCCTAGCAACACACCCAAAAAGGGGAGCGGGTGCTGGGGATGTGGCTTAGTGGTAAAGCATCCTGGTTTCAATCCCTAGTATGCCCCTCCCCAAAATTTATTGAATATATAGTTTATGAATACACCTCTAACTCCAGTTTAGATTTTCTTAGTAAAAAAAAAGTGTTAACAGTTATTATAATAGCCCCAAATAAACAAGCCAAAGTGCTACAAATCTGACAAAAAACTTAAATGTTTTGCTATCTCTAAATGCATGAATATGGGGCTGGGGATGTGGCTCAAGCGGTAGTGCGCTCGCCTGGAATGCGTGTGGCCCGGGTTCGATCCTCAGCACCACATACCAACAAAGATGTTGTGTCTGTCGAGAACTAACTAACTAAATAAATAAATATTTAAAAAAAAAAAAAAAAAAAAAAAAAAAATAAATGCATGAATATATTGTACCAAATATTACTAGAATAATTTTTATTGCATATTATATGACTCTTGTATAATCATTATAGTTTTTTGCACACATTATAGTCTTGCATGAAAGTAGTAAATATTTACTAGCTGAGAAAAAAAAATTCTGTAAGTCTCCATGCACTTCAGGTTAAATAAGTATATAGAAGAATAAATTAGAATAGTCAAAAATGGTATTAAAATATAGTTTTTAAGGGCTGGGGCTGTGGCTCAGTGACAGAGGACTTTTCTTGCAGGTATGAGGCACTGGATTCGAACCTCAGCACATGTAAAAATAAATAAATTAAAAATAAAGGTATTGGGTCCATTTACAACTAAAAAACATTTAAAAATATATAGCTTTTTAAATAACAAGTTATCATTGAAATACATGTTCAGAAAGTAAATTAACTTAGTGCTAAAACATGATGGGGAAGTATATGGCCACTACAAGAATATACTTAGATGTATCTGTCAAAATAGTAAAGATTAACCCAGCGCATGGGCTGGAGTTGTGGCTCAGCGGTAGAGCACTCGCCTAGCATGTGTGAGGCCCTGGGTTCAATCCTCAGCACTACATAAATATAAATGAATAAAATAAAGATATTGTGTCCAACTACAACTAAAAAATAAATATTAAAAAAAAAGAATTTAAAAAAGATTAATCCATCATTGTAATGTTTTGAGCAACTAATAAAAAAATTTAAAAAAAGAAAAATAAAAATGTCTATTAAACTTAAAAAAAAAGATTAATCCAATGCAAATCAACACAGAGAACATGAAACGTCAAATGTCTACTCTCTATGGAGTAGATAGAAATGTAATATGGTGTCATTCTTTTGAGAACCAATTTATCATCTATAAACATAGCATAAAAAAGGATTGTACCTTTGACTTAATAAATCTGTAGCTTTACATCAAATAGTCCAAGAAAATTATCCTACATCCAGAAAATTTTTATACACAAACATATTTATGCAGTATCATTTATAACCATGAAAATTATAAGCAACTTAGACATTCGAAACTTGGAGAATTAATAAATGATGAGGCCCTTAAAAATAAATAAATAAATAAATAAATAAATAAATAAATAATGAGGCCCTTAAACCATTTTTTTTTCATTGTATCTAGCACTTTATCCTCCACATTTTCCCACAAATGGGTCAAAAGTAAACCTCATGTCAATCCTTAAACCATTTTTTAAACTATAGCATGGCTGAATAATTAGAGTTTAATGAAGCTGTAAATTGGGATAAGGAATTTCCCTGAATGTTGCTATTCGAATATGATGTTAACTGAGAGAAGTACGGAGAAGTTGTATAGTAAGTTAGCTTTTGAGACTATAAACATACACATATTTTCTGATATTTTGCAAAACAAAATAATGGCATGATAAAGTACAACCTATAATAAAAGCAGTTTCCTAAACGTGGAGGTAGGCTATGTGGAAAGCGGAAAGATGGAAGGTAGATCTCTCTGAATGTATCTTGTATCATCCATTTTATTTTGTTTGGTTTTGTGTAAAAGATAGCCCCCAAGAACTGCCACCTCCTGGTAGGTACACCCCTGTGACATTGTACCAGAGTTGGGCTGCATGAATTTAGCAGAAGCAATGGTGTATAACTTCCAAGATTAGGTTCTAAGAAGCAGTGTGGCTTTCTTTTTACTTTCTGTGTCCGATCTCTTGTTCTAGGGGAAACTCTTTGCTCTGTTGGGTGGTTTCACATGGTGAGAATCAAAGGCCCAACAAGAGCCATGTGAGGGAGCCATCTTGGAAGCAGATCCTCCAGCAACCTTGGAGCCTTGAGATTACAGTTCCAGCTGACATCTTGCCTGCATTTCATGAGAGACCCTGAGCCCAAAGCAGCTAGCAACACTGCTCCCAATTCCTGACCCTCAGAAACTGTGAGGTAATATCTGTTGTTATTTTAAACTAAAAAGTTTGTTAGACAGCTTGATAGCTAGCAATACATCATGAATACACGTTAGAACTGTAAAATTGTTTTTTAATCATTTAAAAACTGAACATAATAAAAAAGACAAAAAGGTCGTTTTTAAACACTAAAGACAAACTGAAACAAATGAGCGTAACTATCATGTTGGTGACAAAACTAAAAACAATAATTATTTCAAGTGACTTGCAAACAGAGTATTTTTACTGTATATCCCTAGTGGGCTGGATGTTAAGGACAAAAATAATTGTAAATAAATCTTAAATGGCATTCAGCCATCTAATTGTTACTAAGAATATTGGTATCATTATCCTGAAACTTTTCTATCTGCGTAGTGGAATACAGCAAATAGGTCATTATGTTAATATCATTAAGAACCAAGATTTTACACATGAGAGAAGAGAGATACACAAAATCGAAGAAATTAAGTGGAAGCCCTTTAATCTTTAGATTGGAAGTAGCAGTATTTATTCATAATTTATTTTTCTTTTTCTAAAAAAAATGGCTGTCTTAGTTGTATGCGTTGAAAAAAAACCTATAAGAAATTATAACATAATAGCAACAAATACATGGCATCCAGCTTATGGTATTTAAATATGATTTCAAACAAATATGTAGAACTCCTTAGGGAAATGGTTAATTCCAGTTCTGAGGCTGGAAATCTGAAAGGAATATTGGATTTTTCTAGAAATTAAGGACTTCAAGGGTCATATTAAAGAACTAAGGAGGAGCTGGGGGTATAGTTGAGTAGTAGAGCACTTGCTTAGCCTGGCCCTGGGATTAATCCCCACTCCAACAACAACAACAAAAGACTAAAGAACCAACTTTTTTTCTTTTTTTGGTACTGGGGATTGAACCCAGGGGCACTTAACTATTGAGCCTCATCCTCAGCCCATTTTTATATTTTATTTAGAGACAGGGTCTCACTGAGTTGCTTAGGGCCTCCCTAAGTTGCTGAGGCTGGCTTTGAACTTGTGATCCTCCTGTCTCGGCCTCCTGAGTCACCACACCTGGCAAGAAGCAATTTTCTAAGTGGCTCTTACTGACTTAAGACAGGACAATTTGAGCATCAAAAAACGTAATGAAGGCTGGGGTTGTGGCTCAGTGGTACAGCGCTTGCCTTGCATATGTGAAGTGCTGGATTTGATCCTCAGCACTATGTATAAATAAATAAAATGAAGGTCCATCAACAACTAAAATTATATATATAAAACTATAATGACTGCAAGTACTATATACATTTGTACATCAGATATTTTTAAAGCTGCATGAGTTCAAAATGATACTAAAAAGTAAATAAAACCTCACTGGTCATTTTTTGGAAGCTACTATTGGTGAATAAAGAAAAATAATGCATCATTATTTTGCCTTTCCTGTGCAAACTGTATTTTAGAGCATCTAGAATTGATGGGCAAGTTCTTTACTATAAAAGGATTCAAACTCGGGAAGAACGAAAGAATTAGAAAGTCACCAGTTCATGAAGAAATAGTCTGGGTTATGGGTAAGCTTTATATTTTGATCTAAGTGATAGTTACATGGTTGTATAATATGCAAATATTCCTTAAGCTTTTTACTTGGCATTTGTGCATCTTATTGTAGATAAAATATACCTTTATAATTGACCTCAATTTAAAATTTATACTATTTATTTATTTATTGAGGTACTGAGGGTGGAACCCAGGATCTCCCACATGCTGGGGAATTACTCTACCACTGAGCTACACCCCCAACCTTATTCCTCAATTTACAAAACTAACCATTGTACATTCCAGTGAGGTATAATGGTGCCTTCCAGTAAGGAATTACACAGCACCCTATGAAATATCCTTGCCCAGAAGTTGAACCTGAAGCCAGGTGCAGTGGCATATGCCTATAATCCCAGCAGCTCGGGAGGCTGAGGCAGGAGGATCGTGAGTTCAAAGCCAGCCTCAGCAAAAGTAAGGCGCTAAGCCACTTGGTGAGACCCTGTCTCTAAATAAAATACCAAATAGGGTTGGGGCTGGGGCTCAGTGGTTGAGTGCCCTTGGGTTCAATCCCTGGTACCAAAAAAAAAAGAAGTTGAACCTGAATCTAATCCAGCCTCCAATGTAGCTACCAGTTTACAGGAAAGAAAGAGGTCAGAGGAACATGTTAAATGATACCAACAGGATACAACCAGATGAATTTAGAATAGGGGACATTCTATAGGATAAATGACCTGATTTCTTTAGTAAATCAATGACATTCAAGAAAAGAGGAAGGAGAAGGAAGTTGTCATGGTCTGATTTGTGGTGCTACCACAAAATATGATAGACTGGGTAATTTATAATGAGTGGAAATTTCTTTCTCATAGTTCTGGAGACTGGGATGTCCAAGTTCAAGACACAAACACAAGGAATCCATTCTGGAGATAATGAGCCTATTCTCGTGATAATGACAAGGTGTGGTTGCACATGCTTATAGTCCTGGCCATGGAATTGGGGGTCATTTGAGCTCTTGAGTTCTTTATGTGCTTGTTTTTTGTTACTGGGGATCGAATCCAGAGGTGTTTTACCACTGAGCTCCATCCCCAGGCCTTTTGATTCTGTAAATTTTGAGACAAGTTCTCACTAAATTGTTGAGGCTGGCCTTAAACTTGTGATCCTCCTGCCTCAGCTTCTGGTTTGAGCTCAAGAGTTCAAGACCAACCTGGGCACCACAGTGAGACTCTGTCTTAAAAAGATAACCATATTAAGCAAAACAATACACAAACATAGTTTGGGTCCTAATTCTAATACACCATCTGTAAAAAGCCATTTACCAGACAATCAGGAAAATTTGAACACAGACTGGGAATTAGATGATATTAGTCTTAATTTTCTGGGTATGGTCATGGTATTGTGTTTTTATACGTAAGTATTTATAAGTGAAATCATGTGATTTGCTTTAAAGGGGATGAAGCAAGAAAGGCAAAGTAGTAATAATTGTTGAAGTTGAGTGGTGGATATGACTCACTAAATTATTTTCTTCATTTTGGGGTATGCTATTAAGTTATTAGGTTATTGAGGTTCAATCCATCCTTCCAAGACTCTACTTTGGTGGGGGTGGAGGTTGGGGATGAATCTAGGGCCTTGAGCATGGTAGGTAAGTGCTCTACCTCTGAACTGCATCCCCAGCGCTATGCATTACTTTTTTTTTTTTTTAAGAGATTCCTTTATTTTTTTAACATGGGCCTCTATTTTGTCTATTTATTTATACGCAGTGCTGAGAATCGAACCCAGTGCTTCACATGTGCCAGGCAACTGCTCTGCCCTGAGCCACAACCCGAGCTCCAATGAGGTTTGTTTTGTTTTTTTGTGATGCTGGGGATTGAACTCAGGGTCTTGTGCATGCGAGGCAAGCACTCTACCAACTGAACTATATCCCCAGCCCTTTTTTTTTTTTTTTTGGTACTAGGGATTGAACTCAGGGACACTGGACCACTGAGCCCCATCCCCAGCCCTATTTTGTATTTTATTTAGAGAAAGGGTCTCACTGAGTTGCTTAGCACCTCGCAATCACTGAGGCTGGCTTTGAACTTTCGATCCTCCTGTCTCAGCCTCCTGAGCTGCGGGGATTACAGGCGTGCACCATTGCACCCTGCTGATTCTTTTTAACTTCCGCATAATATTTCCTAGTATGCATATGCCATGTTTTCCTCACTGAAACCCTGTATTCACTATGACCAAAGGTCTATGATTAATATCTGTGTCCCTGTGTCTATGTACTTGTTTAGGAGTATTTCTCTAGGGTAGATAGATATAGAGTAGTAAAATTTATAGGTCAGAGAAGAATGTATATTTTAAAATTTACATTGGATGTGAAATGAGTGTCCTGAAGCACAGTTACAATTTCCAAGTGTGCTGGGAGGGCCCGCGTGCCCTTATTTCTATGGTTGCTTTAGCCTACATTTTCCAAGTGGCACTTCTCTAGGGTCCTTTAGCAGCAGATCACAGAGGGGAAGAGCTGTTCATCTCCATCACTCCCTAGACCCCCAAGTACCTTCTGTATCCTGTTGTGGGGGGAGGGGGCACCAGGGCAGGGCCAGTATAATCCCTCAGGAGAAACCAGCGCCAGAATGGAGCCATCATAGTGACAGCTGAGAGTAGAGTCTCTGAGAGACTGTTGGAGTGCACTTTTTTTTTTTTTCTGAGTATGTGTGACAACCCCTAGCAACTCCTGGAAATAATTAGTGCCCTTTGTGAGGATCAGAGGTTCTTGCATGACCAGATGGCAGGCAATTAGGTTATTCTTAGTGTTTTGTTTAATGCTATCTATAGTGGACCTGGGTTCCTGTGGAGTGGCAGCTGCAGAATCAAGCTAGACAGTCTCCTCCCGTTATACCTGGGGCTGGGACCCATGGGGTACCTTAATATGTGAATTTCTGGAAAAATTTTTTTTTTCCTCCCTGGCAGAGGAAGGCAGCAAAGGAGCTGAGATGTTACTGTGTTTCTGGGGTTAAGAAGTGCCAAGTTAGAAAAGACTCAGTGAGGGGGGAAAGTAGGAAATGAGATCAGAGGGATAATGATTGGGATCAGCTTTCCCAGGTCACTTCCTGCCCAAGGGTTGTTTTAAACTTTTTTTTTTTAGACCAGGCTCTTTGGTGATTTAATTCCCTTAAAAACCATGGAAGGGTGCCCGGCATGATGGCTCACGCCTGTAATCTCAGCGATTCAGGAGGTGAGGGAGGAGGATCACAAGTTCTAGGCCAGCCTGGGCAACTTAGCAAGGTTCTAAGCAACTTAGTAAGACTCAGTCTTAAAATAAAAACTCAAAAAGGCTGGGGATGTGGCTTAGTGGTTAAGTGCCCCTGGGTTCAATTGTTGGTACCAAAACAAAACAAAACAAAATATATAAGGCCTCAGATCTGTTTGTTTCTAGACTGTTCCATGTGCTGTAACCATCCCCGAAGGCTTTTCTACACATGGTTTTAATGCGTATTTTATGTACTTATATGCTTCCTTGTTCCTGTGCTGCTCTCCCCTTCAAGTTAAAAGTGGCTACTTTGATGCTGTCTCAAATAATAGGTTTAGTTAGATGAGAAGGACACCACCTCTCCTGATCTCATGATTTGCTTCAGAGCAGTTTCCCTCTGCTAACAGAGGGGTCTTCCTGGGCCTGTATGCTGCGTGGTCAAGCAGCAGCTGACACTACTGCAGCTCCCAAGTGACTTGCCATACTCATATGGGTTTGGCTGGTGACACGTAATAGGCCCAAATAGATTTAAATGGCATATTGCTTACAGAGACAACATAGGAAAGATCAGCCTGGTGTCAGCTCCCCATGTCCCTAGCCCCACAGGATGACACCAAACCAGAAGAGCCAGATGACAAACCACCCAAGTGATAGATGGGTCATTTTGCTGTAGAGCAGCCAGTTTTAAACCGCTGTTAGCAGTTGCAGAGTGCATGGAAGGCTGCCACGGAGCCCCAGCTGGGAAGTGGACAGGGTAGAGAGGACTTCCCTCTGTGAATCCAGGGAGATGGATGAGAAATGGCCTCACGGCAGTCTCCCACAAGATAGGAAAAAGAAATTGCCTTGCAGCAGCTCCTGGCTTTATCTCTCCTTGTTCCAGGAGCAATCACAGGGCATTCTGCCAAGACCAGTCAGACTGCAGCCAAGCCTTGTTCTTGTGGCCTATGCGAAGATGTGCAAGGTCATCAGCACGTCACCATGGAACTATTCCCCTAACATTTGGTTACACAAAGCCTTTTTCAGTTATTATTTGGGATGTAGAAACGGCTTTTTTTTTTCCCGTTACTGGAGATTGAACCCAGGGGCACTTAACCACTGAGGCACATCCCCAGCCCTTTTTATATTTCATTTAGAAACAGGGTCTTGCTGAGTTGCTTAGGGCCTTGCCATATTGCTGAGGCTGGCTTTGAACTTGTGATCCTCCTGTCTCAGCCTCCCGAGCTGCTGGGATTACAGGTGCTGTGCTCAGCAACACTCAGCTTTTTTAATCCTGTATCTTCAAATCTCCCCAGTCTGATTTCCTTTTATTTTTACTCTTGCACCAACCAGTTCTTGCCTGAGCTTGTCTCTCTCTGGTAATTCCTTGCTAAACACAGTGAGTAGCCATCAATATACACCTGGCATTTACTTTCCACCCTCTTTTCCTGAAGTTATAGGCTCAGGAGGCACTTGATCTGGCTTCCAATTTATCACAGGTGACATTTTAATCAAGAATTTTGCTGCTTTTTAACATGGCTCTCCATCTTTCTATCCTTCAGTATCAGTTTTCCTCACTACCCATTGGCTCAAATACAACAGAATTTTTGTTATTGCTCATCTTACAGTACTGGGTGGGTGAACCGGTCAATATGCCAGCCCTCCTCCAGGTGGTCATTCAGAAACCCAGGGTAACAGAGGCTCTGCTATCTTCAACCCATGCTGACCCAGGTCATCACTGGGTATAAGGTGCAGAGCCATCTCCATTGCAACAAACTAAAAGGGGAGAAAAGCAGATAAGAGTATGCTTGGGAGTTTTATAGAAGCCAGCTGAAAGTAGCACATGAAATTTGTTTTCATGGGGCTGGGAATGT